ATATATAACAATTTTAAATATAATTTAAATTATATTATTAATTTTTACATTTTGTGTTTTTTTGTATTTTGTCTCTTATTTATTTTAAATTAATTAATTGTATTCAGAACCATGTTTAATCGATTATGTGTAATTTTATTCTTTACTGCTGATGAAGATTTTCAGTTATGTCGAAATTTATTTCCGTTTCTGGTTACACATCTTGGTATATAATTTTTATTAAAATACTTATATTTCTATATTTATAACATATTGGGTTGTCCGGAAAGTTCGTGCCGATTTTAAAGGAAAATTGAAACGCAGAAGATTTAAATTTTAGTATACATTTATTAAATTATATAAATTAGTCGGCACGAACTCTCCGGACAACCTAATATAAATTTTGTATTTGTTCGTTTTCGGCTTTTAAATTAAATTTATTTGAATTTGATAAACATTAAACACTTTACATATTATCTCTACAATATTTTATCAGCAATATTATTAAATATTTTAGATATGCATACATATATACGCAATAGCAAAGATAATTGTAAATATAGAAATAAAAGTATATTAATTTTCTATATGCCTTATTAATTCTTGTTGTATACATTTATATATATAGCTTAGAAAATATTTTATATTTATAAAAATTATAAAAATTAAATGCAACTGTGCAATGTTATAATGGAATTTCTGATGTGTGTGTTTGTGAAATTAGTACGATATTCTAAATATGAAAAAAAAAAGATTGTTTCAGTAGCACTTGTCACAGTTCTATAGTTTCTTGTAAATATAAAAAAGCCACATTATATATTAAAAACTAAATTAAAAAATCAACAGTCAGAACTCTTTAAAAATAATTGGAGAATGTTGTGGAATTCATACTAGAATTAATGAAAAATGATGACACAAGAATTGCGATAAATTATCAGCAAGACTTTTTTTTCTACATGTCAAGATGTCTTCTACATTTAAAATCTATTAAAATTGATAATTGTTGGAATTTTGTTTTTAAATTACGTACATTGATACAACTCGAGTAGTATTAACGGGAACTATAGAACTATGAAAAGTGTTATTGGAACTGTCATTATTTTTTGTATATTAATAGAATGGAGTATTAATTATTGATATATCCGTTTTTGATATGCTTGTGACTTTAGTATCTTCTGATGTTTGTACCTACACTAGAATTCTATGTTACCGACAAACAAGTTCTGATTTCGAATATCGTCGTGTGCCGCTAGAGAGCCCTCCTTGACATACATTGAACTTTTCGAAAGAGTTCAAGGACTTTTCACAAAAAAGATTAGTAGGGATACGTTTTACTTTGAAACTTTATATCGATAAATACAAATATTTAAATTGTGTGTGTGTGTGTGTGTGTATGTGTGTGTGTGTGTAATTACGTCCTTTTTATTTGCTTATATTATGCACATATCATATTATTTATATAAAAAGCTTTAAGCTAAATCTTTTAATAATAATGTGATATAGTTTACGTAATACTTTATCAGCCATATTTTTATATATTTTATTTTTTAGAACTCTACATCATGATTTTTCAAGGTTTTTTTAATTAATTACTTAATAACTTAACTATCAAATTATATAAAAAGCTTTAAAAACATTTATGAGGATATTAAAAC